CTGCGCCTCCCCTGGGGCGCGGGCGGTGGCGACCCCTAGCCGTGGCGCTCGTGTCTTCGCGCTGGGGTCCTGGCGGGCGCTGGGGAGGCAGGAGGTGGGGACGTGGCAGCGGCTCAAGCGGGCGGAGCCGGGCCGCGGCGGGAGGCGGAGCCGCGGGGGAGGAGGCGCCAACGGGCCGGGTGGCGCCGCGGGAGGTTCTGGAAACGCCGGGAGCGGCGCGCGTCCAGGTGAGCCCCTGTCGCGGGCTCTGCGGGTGTCTAGGGAGCGGGCCGCGCGGTGCGCCAAGTGGGGTCTGGGCTTGGGGTCGCGCCGCCCGCCGTCCTGGAGCTCTTCGGATACTGTCCGCCGCGCAGCCCGGCCCGCAGTCCGGCGCCCTCCCCGCTACTCCCGCTGTCTGGGTTCCTGTCTCGCCGCCTGCGTTCCCTCCCCAAGCTCAGGGTGGTGAGGTCAGCCGCGTCCTTCCTGTCGGTCCCCTTGGCGCCCCGTTGGGCGGGGAACTTGGCTGTCCAACCTTGTAGGCTCCCCGGGAAGGGATGGCCGGGCCCTCAAGGGTTATAGTGGCTAGAGGTAGGGGTGTCGTCCTGGCCCTTGTGCTGCTTAGTGCTCCCGGGTGGGACTCCAAGAAGGAGTGTGTGGTCTTGGCTAGGCCAGATTGGTGCCCATTAGACTGATTGTATCAGAAAGGCTTTCCCCCTTTCCAGACATCCTTGTGGGATCCTGCATATTATTTTTTTTCCTCTCAGCAGCTGCAGAGACCTGTGATTAGTTAACAGATTCCACAAACGTACCCTTCTGTGTATCAGAGACACTTTGAGAAGCTGCTAGCCCAGTGGATCAGAGGCACTGGAAGAGGGGGTAAGCCTGAGGTCAGTGTGGTCAGCCCTGTGCTGGGTGGGATAACGGACTGCAGGTATTTGGCAGGATGAATCAGGCCAGAAGGCTTTCTGGAGGTGACCCATGAGTTTGGGTTGACCAGATTAAGGCTGGGGAAAAGGTAATCTGGATAGAAGAATAGTGTGTGAGCCTGAGGCGTCGTGGGCCAGCATCATCCTTGTGACCCAGTAGTGGAAGGCAGGTGATGGGGAAGGGACTTGTTAGGGGAAAGCTTCCCATGGAGCCATGAGCCTGGAGTGGGAGGACCATGCCTGGCACCGTGCCCTCCATGCGAGGGGATTGTTGCATGATCACATCAGGGCACTTCCTGCTTCAGGCATTGCTGGGCAGCATAGATGGGCCCCTGACCTCTGTGCACTAATCTAGCACCTTTCTAGGGGCACAGCATTAGCATCCTTCCTACAGAGAGTGGTGCCTTTTTTCTGTAGAGTGACACTTAGAGCTTGTGCTTGACAGGGTAGCCCATCTTCTTTCAGGCTCCATTAGAGGTAGGGCTGAGAACACCACTCTAGCTTGGGTGCACTCAGCTCACCAAGAGGCTGCCTATCCACTGTCTACTTAAGAGTTTTTAGAATGTTATCACAAGCTGCTGCTTATTCTCAGCTTGAGAAGACAGGTTCCATGACTTGGTCTTAGTTGTACAACTCAAGATTTCCTTTGACTTGTGCTTAAACTGCTGGGAGGTGCCCAGGTTACAGTCTCTGAGTGTGATTTCTGGTTTCAGGGTCCAGCCAACTTCTTCTGCTCACTTCTTCCCAGTCACGAGATGGTTGGGCTTTGAATCCTTTTCTTCTAGGTTCTTTGTGTTCTCAGATGGCCAAGTATGTCCACTCTGTGGCCCAGCCAAAGAAGCCACGTAGCAAGGATGGAGTGAGTTGGCTGGGGCCTTATCCCAGAGATGCTATCAGATTGGGCCTTACTCAGAGCCCAGCAAACAAAACATAGTAACAACTGAGCTGAGATATTGGCTGTGGTTTGTAATAAACTCTCCTGCCCTGTTACAACCTCTGGAGTGGAGTGCTTGGGAGAGTGATTGCCTTGCATCTGGATTAGCTGGGCCAGAGCTAATCTCTTCGCATTCCTGGAAGACCTTCCCATGGCCTGGCTTCTGCCTTTGGTGTGCCTGGGAGTGGAAGTAGAGGAGGAAGAGGAGACAGTGGTAGTGGTGGTGCTATTCTTGCCCGTGGGTAGCCCATAAACTTTCTGAGGTTGCTGCCTGCAAGGGAAGGGCTGGGTAAGTGAATGCTATCTGAGGGAGAGACTGCATGGGAGTTGCCTTGAGGAATGAGTGGGGTAAGGATTTTGAGATGGGGTCTTCTCATTTCCTGAGAGAGCCAGGCTTTTTGACTCTGCCCTCCCATATCCTTGGGAGCGTCTGAGGCTGAGGGCAAGGCCTTGGCGGATTTGTGGCCACGCTGGCTGATAGTGTACAGAAGGCTGTCGGGTGTGTCCCTGGCTCCTGGGATCTCTCAAGAGTTTAATTTTATGCAGATGGAGGCTGGCAGGAAATACTGTGATGCAGGCACGTGCAAGCCTGGGCAGTGCTAGAGTGAGAATTAAACTTTGGAAAAAGTTGCTTGGATTTCACAGGTTGGACTTTGAAGCCTCTTGGGGTGGGATATCATCTTGTACTAGAGCTGAGAGGATTAGTGGGTCTGGCAGTTCTGGGTTGTTTTTTGTGCTGGGCATATGGATTGAGGGATTCACAGTTTTGATTTTAAAAAGGAGCAGAGGGGAGTAAGAGTCTGAAGTGGACTTCTTGGAGCCCTAGGAGAGAGTTTCTGTTCTGTTACCATTTCAGGGGAGGGATTGTTTGGACAATGTATTCTATGTTCTACAGCTCAAATAGATCCAGACTAGTGTGTGTTCTAGACCATTCAGGAAGTGATTGCTTATGGTTATGCTACTTTGTACTTGGTGCTTTTGAGGGCTCTGGTGTGTGAAATTCTACACTCAGTTTTTGTCTGAGTCAGGAGTGAGCAGAACAGAGGTGTAGAAGTGGATGAAATCCTAGAATGCTGATCTTCTCCCCCACCATTTGCCAGCACAACTTCCTTGGTGAGCTTGAGAGCCTGTGATGGATCAGTTGCAGAGTTTATGCCTTGTTGATTACTATGCTATGGTTCATATGGCTTTAGTTTCTCCTGAATTAAGTGTTTCATCTCTTTTGGCATTCCTGGAATACAGAATTTGCCCAGTTTCTGCCTTGTTTGCATCTTCACGACTTTCTTTAGCTGCGTCTTCTCCCTATACTGGATTTACCTGATTCATCCTAGGAGCTGTGTGCTTCAGGTCCACTGCCCTTCATGATGGCAATGCCCAGATGCATATGTTTGCTCATTCAATTCTCACAGCAACCCTAAGAGTTTAGGTCCTAATATTATCTCATTAGACAGATGGGGAAACTTGACTTCAGAGAGGCCTGTAACATGTCTAAAAATCACAAAGCTAGCAAGTAGTGGTAGACCCGGGATCTATCTACCTGTTGAAACATCCCGTGGACTGCCAAAAGAACGAACAGGTTCATCCTGGAGAGGGTGAAACCAACTTGCTCCTTGGAGAGACAAGGATTGTGAAGCTCCGTCTGACATACTTTGGGCATGTTGCCAGGAGGGATGAATCCTTGGAGAAGGACATCATACTTGGAAGAGTGGAGGGGTAGTGCAACAGAAGAAGACCCTGGAGGGGATAGAGTGATACAGTAACTGGGGTAATGAAGTTAGGGATCTCAGAGACAAGTGAGATTGACTCAGGATAGAGCAGGGGTCAGAACTATTGCACATGGGGTTGTTATGAGTCACTTAACAACAATAACAACAACAACAACATAACTGTCTGACTATACTGCCTTGCCCTCAAGTACATGGTAGTTTGTGATGACCATAATGTTTAGGGTCCGAGGACTTGCTCACTTGAATTCAAGACAACCATTTCCTTTGGGTCTGTTTGGCTGTTCTCTCTCTGGTGGGATCTGTCCAGGGGTGTCATGAAGCTGCTTTGTGAACTTGTGGTTAACCCAGGCTATAGTTAATGGCTTGGGCAGTGCTGCCCTGCCATGGCAAAGCGTGGCTGCGCCATGTGGGAAGTCCATGTGCTGTAAAACTACTGATTACTGAGTAGGATTGGGCGGTCAAGACTGTCTAACAAAGAGTAGGCACTGCGAGTCAGATCAATGGGTTAACTCTCAGGTCTGCCATTGATTTCCTTTAGGATGTCTGATGTGTAGGAAACTGTCTCTCAGAAATGGAGATGATTATCTGATTTACGAGGTCCGGTGGGGATTGGATGATAGATATGAAAAATTTTTGGGAACAGAAATAATGGTTGTTTTAGCCTCAGTTTTCAGAAAACAGAGCTGGAGGCAGAGATTGTTTTAATGCTTTGTTGGAAAGAGCGACTTCAGGACAGCAAGACTGAGAGAGAGAAAAAAGGGAGGTAGGGAAGATTGGGACACAAATCCAGAGCTGTGAGCTGTGTTTTGGAGAGCTGTCATACACACACACACACACACACACACACACTCACTCACTCTCACTCTCTCTGTCTCTCTCACACATACACACACACACACTCTCACTCTCTCTCACACACATTCTCTCTCACACACACATTCTCTCTCTCTCTCTCTCTCTCTGTCATTCAGAACATCTCTGGGCAAGCCCTGCAGAAATTCCATGCCTGGGAACAATTTATCACGGGGAGGCCCAAAGAAGGAATTTATCTGCTGACCTCCTGTTGTCTTCTTTCGTTGACTGAATGGAGTCTCCTCAGGAGGGGCTAACACCTTTTTTCTCCTTGGTTGCACCACCAGAGACTTTGGCAGCCACTGGAGAGTCCTCTTAGTCTGGAAGTAGTGGGGGGAGTTGAGTACTTTTGTGGGCCTGCATCTCCCACTGGGTCTGGGACAGAGCAAGTGGCCAAGGACCCAGGAGACAGGGAGGCCAAGGGAGTATGAGGCAGTCCTTAAGAAACGTCAGATATAGTGGTATGTAGATTTTATCCTAGTGTCCATTCTTGTAACTTACCCTTACCGAGTCTGCTAAGGCTGTCCCAGCCCCAGCTTGGCTTTTGCATGTCAGTTTTATCAGCATTCTCTTCTACTGCAGTGCTCAGTTACTGAAGCCGAAGACTTTGCAGTAGAAAGGTAGAAATCATCATGTTCCTGGACCTCACAGAGAATGTAGAAGGGAGCGTGGATGAATCTCTGGGCACCATTAAGTGGGAATCTAATGAAAAGGCAAGGAGAATATTTTCTGCATGAAACAGTTGTTTAAAGTAGGAAACTTGGAGTTGTGAGGTGGTGCTGGAGAGGGTAGCAGGACCAGGTCACTCA